ATTCATAACTATGAAAAGTGTACTAAGAAGACATATGTGTTGAATCCTGTTATAAAATTCCACAAACAAAAGGAAAAGACAATCCTAAAAGTTTATAGAGAGGGAAAAAGAACATATTCTGAAGATTTTTTAAAAATGTAATTTTATTGAACATTTTAATTGCAACTACAGAAACTACAAGACAATAACTTCTCTGAATGTCTTCAACATTTTGAGGAAAGTAATTCACGATAGAATTTTATACAGTTAAATATCAATTGTGTGCTGTAAAAACACAAGTGTAGTTCTCAAATAAAAAAAAATACTAATAGAAAGTATTCCAAACCTGGCCATATGTGGTAGGCCTAAGGCAAAGGCTGGAGGATCATGAGTTCAAGGTCAGCATGGGTAATTTAGTGAGACCCTGTCTCAAAATAAAATAAAAAAGGGCTGAGGATGCAGTTCAGCAGTGGGGTACTTGGTTGGCACGTGCAAGGACCTGGATTCAATCCCCAGTACCACAAAATAAATAAATTAAAGAAAACATCCAGGGTAACAGGAAGTGGTCAGTGTATGTGCTCTACCAACACTATGGGGCTCACTAAGAAAGGGTGGGATAAAAATAGAGGAAGTAACAGAACTGTAGACCAGCAGATGGGTAAAGGGAACCCAGGACTATAATATGCTCAGAGGCTCAGGAAGTAAGGTTGTATTTGCTACACACACACTGAAAAAACTGTTTCAACAGACACTGTGATTTTTAACTAAGCATCATAGATATGCTTAGTTAGCATTTGAAGAATCATTGTATTGAAGACACACTACATGATGGTGTTAATTCCTGCTTCAAAAAAAATATTTGCTATGTGAGATACAGTGGAATTGCCCTTTCTTTCATCATACATAACACCTCATAGTTTAAAAGGGAGGATTCCTATAGCCCTCTTAACCCCAAGCCAACTAATATGTCTCATAACCTAAGCATTGCAATCTGTCAAATGAGCAAAGGTTGATTTCTAAAAAGAAGTAAACTGTATTAAAGTAGGACATGGCATGCCAGAGGGAAAAATCCACCAGGAGAAAAAAGTGAACCTAATACATCCGAYTTTATTTATCAAACACTTTAAATGTTTTAATATACAAATGTATTCATTTTTCACAACAACACTATGTGATGAGTATTTTTATTAATACCATGATCATCACCATCATAATTATTTCCCTTAGTTTACTCATGAGGAGGCAAAGAGAATTGTCCAAAGTATCACTGCTAGTAAATAGCAGAGATTTATTCAAGCCCTACCCAAGAAAATCTGGCTTTTAGACACTACACAACATTGTCTCTACTCACTGAATGGAAACATTTTTTTTCAAAATAGATTGAATCCAGGGGCTTGCACGTGCTAAACAAGTATCCCACTGCTGAACTACATCCTCAGCCCTTTTATACAATAGGTTACTCCTATTTTYAAATTCAGATTTGTGATGATTTTGATTTTTTGAATATATTCCTASGATACTTTAAATGTATTATTTTGACAGAATTTTAAATTATGTATGTGTGTAAGCTTTGGATTTTAGTGGATCCCTTTTATATATTTTTTTAATAATTTGACACAGCTTAGTCAAATTGAARATTAATTAGGAAAGAGAAAATCATTTACCTTGACAACAGTTCAATTAATGTTTGATAAACAAAGATCCTGGAAGCACCTAAGTACTCCAACCTACCATGGCCTAACATCTGTGTGTGATACATATGCCAAGAAATTTGACATCCAACTAGAATTTCATGGCCATCATCCCTTGCCTTCCCTTTTAAAAGGTCAATGATCTTCAGGAATGTAACAAACTAAATTCCTCAGTCTAAGATAGTTTAGCAAAGCATCTTCCCTTTTAATAGCATTAGGTGCAGCAAACACAAAATATTAAAGATGTTAAAAGGAGGAAGAAAGGTTGAACAATGACAACAAACCTTTTACTGTCTCTGGAGTTTCTGCCAGGGCTTCTTGCAGGGACATAGAAATGTTAACCTCAGCCTTTCTGCTGAGATTCGAAAATTCTCCTTGCATTTTAACATCTTTTACTGTGAAAACATTTTATACTTCTGAAACATGTTTACCCTCATTATCTCATTTGATCTAATGACCCAGCCAAGCACATAGGGCAGGTGTATTATGGGTAGATATAGGTTCTTACTGGTTAAATGACATACACAAGGCCAAATAACAAACTAGATGCAGACAGAAAACTCTGATTTTTTAAAGCAAAAGCCTAAGGCTCTCTACCATGTTCTTACATACACAGTTACTTTCATAAAAAACATAAATACCAAAATGAAATGTGTGGCTCATGTATTGATTTGCTTATTTACTCATCCAGCAAGCATTTATTAAATAACTACTATCAATAAAGCTCCACAGACTTCTAAAAAAAAAAAAAAATCTGCCACCAGAAACACTGCCAAAGCCACATGATTATACTGTAGGCCTCTTTTTTTTCCCCTTTGAAGWATCAGATAAAGCTGGACAGAATCTTTTATTAACTTTTATTAAAATTATCATGACTCAGATATTCCTACCATCTTCTCAGTTTAATTAATTTGACTTCCACTTACACTAATTTGGAGAAGTGTTGAAGTCCCCATACTCCAAGAATCAATAATCTAAGGAAGAAAATAGGATCGTTATATGGAAAATCAAGATGCAACTAGAAATTATTCTAACAGTGGAAAAAAATTCTATGTTTCTAGTCTGGAAATAATGATATCCAAACCTGGTTAGCATTGCAGATAGTCATTTTTATTTATACCATGTCTCCTTGGGTCTTTAAAATGTAATTGTTATCATATGTGCACAAAATGAGAGGAAATAGTCAAGAATGATTTCCAGATTTCAAATATGGGAGACTAAATGTGATGATAGTGTCACTCAAAAGTATAAGATGACAAAAGCAGTTAGAAGTAATGGGAGACAGTGAGTTTCATTTCACACATACACCCTTGAGACATGCAACAGGAGATATTCAGAAGGCGAACACAAACAAACGTTGGTGTACAGGTCTTGTTCTGAGGCTGAGTTGGAAAAGTGGATTCAGGATACATCGTAATGAAGGGGATGGTTAAAATCAGAGTCATTYACAAAGTGTGGAGAGGGAAGGAAGAACCCAGGATAGAGGACAACATCTCAAAGAGATCTGAATTCAAGAAAACAGCTTTTTTTAAAACTGCTAGAAAAAGGAAACAGAGTTTTTGAGATATAAACAGGGAAAAATCTTGGGGGGAAAAGGGAGAAGTTAGAAGTTAGATAGAACAGGAACATCAGTAAGAGGTGGGTCAGTATTAACGATGGTCATGGGTCAACTAAGYGAAACGCTAAAAGACTTCTGCAGACTAGTGTATATGATGATCATTGATGGTCAGAGCAATTTTAAAGAAGCAATAGAATTAGAAGCCATATTTGATGAGTGTATCATGAGTGAATTGGTGAATGGGAAATAGGTTGGAGTAGCAAGTATACTACTCTGATTTTCTACAGTGAACACATACCAACATTTATGTAATAAAATTAAGAAGCGACTGATATATGTTTGGCTGAAAAAGAAAATTAAGAGATAATAGAGTAGCTGGAAGGAGTTGTGCAGATCTGAAGACCCTCTGTTATTCACATCTTGAGGGGTTAGAAAAAAAGGAGAGGGAGAAAATGAAGAAGAAATTCAGTGGAAAAATAAGGAAACTGTTATGAGAAAGTAAGTAATGGTTGTTTTCTTAAAATACAATGTGAGATGTCTGGAGCAGATCTTAGTCTATAAAAAGCCCTTTAACATAAACAAATTTTCACTTGGGAGTATAGGGCTGATACCAAGAGAGATTAACATTTCCCTCATCATTTATTACAAACTAGGGTTAACCCTGTGAAGTAGCCCATTATTATTGTGTAGAGGACAAAACTGTGCTCTACYCTATACTTAGCAATAAAGAAAGAGGTGGCCCAGAAAGGTTCCTTTCAATCCAGTCTCTCTCTTTTTTCCTGTGCTCTGTCTTTGATAATACGAATGTGRACAGTGTTGAATGAGTAATGTAAATGAAACACGCTGATCTCAGAATAAGATTATATTTTGGAAAACAAGATGATTACAATCAATCCACAGAATGCTGTATGAAAAAGARACATTGCTTGCATCTTTCCTTGAGACATACAATATTTATCTCAAATATAAGAAAATGGAAGAAACTATAGCTTAGACTTGTGCTAAAGAAAAAAAGGCAGTGTAACAGAATGTCTTATAAGGCATTAAATAAAAATATGTGCTCTATTATAATAAGTAAGAATCATCCTATTTTAATAATTACTTTAAATAAATTATTGAAAGTATGGGAAACAGAGATACAAAAAGTATTTCTATAAAGCAAAGAGTAYGACGGTGGTTAGTGCCAAAATTAGCTATAGCTTTCTGGATAGCATTTTTAAATTCTTCAAATATATTTTTCTATTTCTTTTTTCCTTAATCAAATACATTKTAGCATCTGTTTTATATCAAAAACAAATAAAATATGTCCACATCAACAGAGGGCATTGGCCTTTATTTCTTGGTTGTTTTTTTAAAAGATCATCTAGAGAAAAACAATGATTTTAAAAATCTCTATTTGTTAGAGTTGAAATTAAAACTGCCTTCAGTTTCCTGCTGCTAGATTAGGTCTAGATACCAGTGCATTACAAAATCTTTGGAACTGTGAATTARGAGTGAAAATCTTCCTGAGTTTTTGTTATAAGTTCTTGAAATTAAAGTAAGAATTTCATTTGCTGGGTTGGCTAGGTGTAGAGGTGGAGAGGCTGTTGGAGGGGTTAAGTTGGAGCCACTGGTGCATATATATTTCAGAGGATTCAGAAAAACACAGCAGTGGAGCCTGGGTCAATCCATTTCTGTGAACAAGCAGTGACCAATAGAAAAGGAAGAAGAAGATCCAAGGAGGCTGAGGTAAGCCATCTCTGACGCCCTGTCAAAGTGAAAACAATACATCAAAAGGTGTTCATGGTGACTTCTCAGTGTAGGTTTTACTTTTTCTCAAAGGAGGTTTGACAGCATAAAGGAAAAACAATTTTTTAGTTAATTTTTTTTTCTTCAACTGACTTTTTGCAAACTGCAGACTCAGACACAGGACTCAACGGTATATTCCTGGAAGGCAAGGTAAACTCTTTTGCACTTTTTAAAACTCATAAAGCTAAGACTTCAGTGTTCTGATTCATCGGATGTAGGGTTACAACTTCAATAACTGAAGCAAATCCCTATTCTGAAAAAATTTTAACRTGTCTCTGTTGGAAGATGGCCAGAGCAGCCTTCTGCAATTGTAGATTTGACAGCTTGTAGAAGCAGATCTGCACTTGTGATTTTCTGCAATTTAATGGCAAAACTGAAAGATCAGCATTTCATTAATGACTGATTTTATGGTTTTCCAGGAAACAGTAAAATTTCTTCTATCCTTATTATCACTTGACTTAAGTAAATGTACACTGATGAGTATATCCTTTTCTATGTAATATGTAACATGTATATGTTATAAATAAATGTTTAAAATACACATTATGCCKATATGTTTTTTGCTGTTAAGATAGAATTTGGAACAATGATCTCTGATGATATTTGGTAGGAAGAGTTTATATCTTTTAAATATTTCACATATCAGTAAGTATTTATCTATTTATTGTTATTATCCATTGTGAATATATGAATTTAAAAGAATTATCACAAATATATTCACATCTTGAATATATTTGTTTTGTTGTCTTTATAATCAAGTTATAATCATATGAGTAATATATCTGACTCTGTAACAAATGCTCTTTGTCACATACAGGTATGTTTGTATGTATATCTGCACAACAAAAGAGATTATCTGAGATTGTGTGAGGCATATATATGACAGAGTGATTATATAAGAGATAGATTATAACTCAGTTTCTGAGCTGGACAACCTGGTTGTTTCTTATAATTTTTGAAGTCTTCTTCCCACCAAATAAAACTTACCTGAGTAGTTCAGCAGCAGAACAAGAGAAAAAACACACACTTTTCTTCAGATCGTAGAACTTTCCTTCWCAATAAACTACTAAAATATTCTTTGATCTCTTCATTTCTTTGGATCAAGTGCCAAAGAACCTGGGAAATCTCCTCCAGATGTTCTTCTCATTTAGGAGTCAAAGTAGAAGCAAAATCATATGACTCCATCTTAGGAATGACACAGACTTTAACTTGAACTATTWAAAGATCACTTTTTTGGTACTCTTATATTCAACTACTGGTTTCAGTTAAGTTCCTTGAATTATTACATAGCTAGAAATGGAAAAGCACTTAGAGCTGCTAAAATTTGCTTTCCATTTCTCCGCTTTCATTAGTTGGGTTAAAACCAGAAGTTTATGAGTTGGCGAATTAATTTTGAAATTTGCAAAATGCTCTATATGGTGCCTACTAAATAAATGTGTCTTTTAATCAATATCTATGGAAATGATATCTTCAACACATCTCTGAAGAAACAAAGTTTACTGATCATTTTGATGCCAATACCTAAAGGTCAAGGTCCTGGTTGATCTAATAGCTGTGTGTCTGATTGCTCTAGGTACTATTATGGCAAGCACAATCAGTTTCATCATCTGGGTGTTGTTCGTAACAGACACGGTGTGGACTCAGAATGTGAGACAGGTCTATGAGGTACATGAGCCAGGGGATTGGATGATTGAAGACTTCGATTGTCCCAGGGAATGCTTCTGTCCCCCAAGTTTCCCTACTGCTTTATATTGTGAAAATCGAGGTCTCAAAGAAATCCCTGCTATTCCTTCACGGATCTGGTATCTGTACCTTGAGAACAACCAGATAGAAACCATTCCTGAGAAGCCGTTCGAGAATGCCACCCAGTTGAGATGGATAAATTTAAATAAGAACAAAATAACYAACTATGGAATTGAAAAAGGAGCCCTAAGTCAGCTGAAGAAGCTGCTTTTCTTATTTCTTGAAGACAATGAGCTAGAAGAAGTACCTTCTCCATTGCCAAGAAGTTTAGAACAGTTACAGTTAGCTAGAAACAAAGTGTCCAGAATTCCTCAAGGGACCTTTAGCAATCTAGAAAATCTAACCCTTCTGGATCTGCAGCACAATAAACTATTAGACAAYGCCTTTCAAAGAGATACCTTCAAGGGACTCAAGAACCTCATGCAGCTAAATATGGCCAAGAATGCTCTGAGGAACATGCCACCAAGATTACCAGCCAACACAATGCAACTGTTCCTGGACAACAATTCCATTGAAGGAATACCAGAAAATTATTTTAATGTAATTCCTAAAGTGGCCTTCCTGAGGCTCAACCATAACAAATTATCAGATTCAGGGCTCCCATCCAGTGGTTTTGATGTGTCATCCATTCTAGATCTTCAACTGTCTCATAATCAACTCACAAAGTTTCCCCGMATCAATGCCCACCTGCAACACCTTCACCTGGATCACAACAAAATTAAACGTGAGTAACCACCAGGGTGTGTCTGATGAAAATGTTCTTCATCTCCACCTTTATCTGTATCTTCTTTAGGAACAGTAACTGTGTTGTCCCCCMGGTAAAATACCCTTCGAGTTTTAAATGTGATTTCTGCTTTCATTACTAACTTTTTGCTTACTTACAGTCTTAGTGAACCAAGAAGTCCCAATCTTCAAATTTAAGATTGAAAATTGGACCTGAGTAATTTATAGAGGACTGTTGTTTATGGGAGAAACCATCCCTGTCTTCTTTTACTCATGAAGAGTCTGGTATTTCTGTCTTTGTGGGTGGAATTATTTTATAAAGTATGCCAGACACACACACAAACACACACACACACACACACACACACACACACACACACACACTCATAAGTAGTAATAGAGGGCATTTGATTTAGGAGGTATAAAAGGTAACTTTATCCTAAAGTCTTTAGGCCAGCTGATGCCTAAAACTCCATAGTTAGATCTCTGGATAAACTACTCTTATCAGAAGGGATTTCTTAAACTTCACTGTGTATAATTTGTGATTCCTCTCCCCAGGTTTATGATTCAGTAGGTCTGCAGTGAGAATGAGAATTTTCATTTCTAACAAGTTCCTAAGTGACCTTGCTGCTCTAGGAACCACTGAGAACTACTACAGTAGTTCAAGACTTTAATTGAAATGGAAATATACATAGAAGCTGCCAATCTTTTGCAACTTAGTGGTAAACCTACAAGGTAAAATGCTCTCTCCTTTCCTGAATACAGCTTTTGATAAAAGGCCAAGGAATGAATATAAAGTTCTTGGATGCAGAATTGCCATCAAAGGAATTGTTTATAGAAGATAGAGGCTGTGAGCAATAGAAATAAACCTGACCTCTTCACAAGCGTGCCCAAGGCAGGCTGCACCTGGTGTAGAKGTAGACCCTATCTTGTCAAGTCACAGAGGTGTTGATACTCAGCCAAGCATCAGTCTATGCATCTTTGACCCTGTGTAAGCCCTTTAGGAAGATAACCTTGAAGAGATTTTTGTTGAATAACTTTAGTAAATGCATTCCTAAAGTGAGATTCAATTGAAATGATTGAAAGAAAGTTACCTAGATAACTGTCAAAAGGTRTTTTTTTTTCTGGTTATTATGCAATAAACTTTGCTTTAAGCAAATAATCATATAGTATAACATTTGCAAGAATATTTCCCCACTTGGTACTGCTTGAGTATTCAAGATTTTTTTTTTTTTGAAACGGTGTACTTAAGCATAAAATCCAGGAATTAGATGGCAGGTTTCCACCACAGCAGTTATATTTCCATGGTGAGGAAACATACTATTTATTCCAGTAATCAAAAAAAAAAAAAAAGGTGTAATAGAAAAATCGCTAGAGGATCTATTTAGCTTAACCAAATAGTACAACAGCCAACACTGACCTAACTATGCCTTTTTTTTTTTCCTGCTGAGAGTTCTGTGCTTCTACAGGTACATTCTTCATCTCATAATTAAAAAAAAAAAAAAGCCTCAGAGACAGCTAGTATGGGAAGTTCATTTTATATGAGTCTTGTTCATTTTACACTTAGAGTCTTGTTTATGAATTAAGAGATTCTACCCTGAGAAGAAGGGTATATAGGAGAGAGGTAGCAAAATTCAAAACACAGTGAAGAAATAGAGCATTGTGTCCTTCCCTCACCCTTATTTTAAACAAAATATTTGTTCAGGCACTTCTCTTTTTCAGTGTGTCTCATACCTTAGTGTGCATCAGAATCGCCTGGAGTGTTTGCACAACAMGTGTTACTGGGTCTCACCTCAAGGGTTTCTAACTCAGTAGGTCTGGGGTGGAACCTAACAATTTAATCCCTGGTGGTACTAAGGGTGGTATTACTGCTACAGGTCCATGTTTTGAGAACCACTAATCCTCCCAAGAACTTTGTGTGACATTATCAGGAATTTCTACAAGGAAAAAATTGAAGTTCAGATAGGTGGCTCAAAGACAAAGAATGACTCTAGGGTTTCTCATTATAAAATAAATAAAATTTWATTTTCACTCACATAGTATAATAACCATACTTTTCTTCATTTCTTCAATGTAAAAATTTGGAAAAAAAATCTATAAGTAGAATAACAACATCACCAATAAAGAGAAATTGAACCATTTGTTCTTCATATAGATATATCAACTGGGGTTCATTTCTAAATTGTGAGAAAATTAATATCAAATATTAATTTCCCAGACTATAATAGTTGGCTCATAATTATACTRCACTGTGCTATAATAACTGGTGAAGTATTTAGTTCTTCTTGCCATATAATCTATCTGATAATAAAATGGTTGGCAAAAAGCTTAACTTTTCCATGAAGAGCCCTCAGAATTTGCCAGACAGTGAACTTATCTCGTGCAATGTGACGGAAATATTTATTTCTTCCAAACATCTTAAATAAGTTAAATTTTGGTTAAAAAAATGTATCCACTTAAATAGTTGCTTCCTGAACATCTCTGAGAAACATCAAAATTGATTTGTCCCAATGTAATTAGACTAGCACACTTATTTCTTATTCTGTTTACATTGGTTATAGGGCATGGGGGTGATAAGGATATGAGGTAGCACACTAAAAGGGACATATCCTCTCCAGCCAGCAATGGACTACATGCATGTAGTGCATGTAGTAGAAAAAACACCAGACTGGGGCCACTATTCCCACAATGCCCAGGTAGGGAGAATAATAAACATTGCCTGATAAAAGTCCTTGTGATAATATGTTAGAAAAAATAACTTTGTAATCACAGAACTGCTATACATATATGTCATTATTCTTATTAAGCCAAATTCTCAAAATGGCTCAAGGTTGGAGCAAAGCAACCTTTCTGTAAGCATAAAATTATTCAACAAAATATGAATCTGTATGCACTAATAGAATGCAGATGAGAGGCATGGCCCAAGTTTGGTGGGTTTCTTCAGGAAAGTTTTCTTGCTCAGAGTAGTTTTAGGAAGGTATGTAAAGSTGGTATAGTATAAGTATTTATGGTTGAAATTCGTGGTTACATGCTTCTCTGATTTTTTTTTAGTTTAACAGACCTCTCTCAAGGATGTTCCTAGATCTCAGTAGTCATTGGTGTCAATGGCTCTGATCCAAGGCAGGTGCACAATTTCTGCCATCTTTACCACGTGAAAAGGTTGACGGGGATTTTTCTGGCTTCAAATCTTTGTAAAGCCATTCTTGACAAGTGTTTCCTTACCAATTAAATATACTTACATGTAGAGATTCTAATTGTTTTCTGTAAGTAGTACATATGTAGTTATGTTAATTGCACTTTTAAAATTTGATTTCATATGTCTTTTTTTTTATCTTTTGAGGTAATTTTCAAGTACTTTCTCTTATATTAGATTGGTTTTCCATCCACTCATCCATGCATCTACCCACCTACCCATATCACCAACCACTCTTTGAATACCACGCTTAAAACGGTATCTCCACCTCCAAGTCCCTGAATACTATATTATACTAATTTATACATGCTATAAATACTATAGTAATTTAAACTTGCATCATCTCTTCTGTAAGCTTAGAAAATGCCATACATTTTTGTTTCCATCATAGCTCTTAGCAATGTTTCTATTCTAGTGTTCTTCCCTAAGTACTGCAGAACATGAAATGAGTATACCTACACTGCACACTTTGTTCAGGTTACTTTTATAAAACAAATATTCACAATCACTGCCACACCAATGGTTTGTATCTCTACCATTTTCATGCATCAGACTACTAGGCCCTCCATTAGGACCACTGGTCTTTATCCTTTGTTTTTTTCTGGTTGGAAATCACTTGTGCTATCTTTGACTCCATAGGTGTGAACGTCTCTGTAATCTGTCCTACATCTACGGCACTGCATGCAGAACAAGATGTCTTTATTCATGGACCTCAGCTGAGCTACCTCCGTCTGGATGGAAATGAAATCAGGCCACCGATCCCAATGGATTTAATGACGTGCTTCAGGCTTCTTCAGGCTGTCATTATTTAAATACATCTTCACAAATCTAGATTGGTTTAGTGAGCTCATGTTTCTGACATGAAATTTGGTCATTATTCATAGGTTTAGGGAAAAAAATCATATTTCCAGTTGCTCTTGGCCACCATTTTCATTTGTGCGGCTTAGGCTTTTTTTTGTATTTGAAGAGGCTTTCATCAATGACTCACGGTGTGGCTCGTATTAATTTTCTTTTCTTTACTAAATACAGACACAGAGGGTCTGGGTTGTGGCTCAGTGGCAGAACACTTGCCTAGCATGTGTGAGGCACTGGGTTCAATTCTCAGCACCTCATATAATATAAAATAAGGTTCCAATGTCTAAAAAATAAAAATAATAATAAAAAAACAGACACAGAGTTAAGATAGTTTATCAACTCAAAGATAGTTACTTTTTATGTCTTTAATGACTTATTAACTATCATCAAATAATGCATTTACATTGTTACACAAAAACACTTGTTGTTTATGTTCAAATAATGGATTTACACAATGCAAAGCATGTATTTGTTTATGTTCAATATTAGTTATGCAGATATTATATTTACAGTATGAATACAATAATCAAACAGGAAGTAATAAATAATAAATCAGGAAGTTGGAAGATCTAAAGAAAACAAACAATGCAATATTTCTTTATTATGATGATGATGAAATAAATGCAGATTGCTGAATGGCTTTTAAACATGAAATTTTTTAATTTAGTTGAAGTGTGTGTATTAAAGGAGTCAACTACTTCATATAAAGAGAGTTCTAGTCATTTAATACTAAATAACAAAGCAGAAGACATTTGTAATTCACTATCATTTTTGTAACAATTTTTTTTATATACAGCACTGTTCTCTAGCAATTGAAAGTTCTAAATTTGAAATTCATTATAACACTTTTCTTACAGAATCATTGTGTTTTGACACCTGAAATCACTTTCAGTTGCAAATTATTCTGCTCTTGTTCTGCTCATGAGTTTTGAATTTAATAAATAAAAAGAGTAAACAATTTCTAGCAAAACAGAAGTAAAATATTTGTTTCAAGGGCATTTTTCACAAGTTTTATTTAGGGAGATATTTTTAATAAGTGTCATAATAACAATTATTTTTATTTTTCTAGCATGAATATATGCCAGTGTGTTTTCCTCTACTGACTTTTTGTTTTCTTCCAGTAAACATAAGAAAAAAATAGAATCATTTGGTGTGATATATTTGTTTCCCATGAGTTAAAAAGAAATAGCCCAGGATATTATTATACTTTGCTTTAGCCTTCTAATCTTGTAAGACATATACTAAAAYAATAAATATTCCATAGAGATTAATACATGCCTTTATATATATAAACATATATAATAYGAATATGTATATATACACATATACATACTCTCTTAACTTGTGCTTGGTTATAAATTAAATGTCATCCTAGGTATGTGTGTATAGGAAAAACACAATATATGTATGGTTTGATACTATCTGCAGTTTTAGGTATCCACTGGGGATCTTGGAATGCATCCTTCACAGATAAGTCAGCCAGTCATGGAAGCAATTTCTCATGAGGTCCAATTCATTAATGGAACTGTTCAAATGGAGAATTGGTGAGCAGTCAAGTGAAAGAATATAAAAAGATTCCTAACCTGGAAGAAAGGTTGTTGTGAAATGCTCCTCACAGAACTTTTCAAAACAAAGAATTTCCCTCCTCCCTTCCCCCTCTCTTTCTTCTTTCCTTGCTTTCTTCCCACATTTTTTTTTGTGTTTATTTAAAGTATTTCTTAACTATTATACAGATTCCAGACTATAGTAACTTAGGAGATATAATTCTGTTCAGTTCCTGTTGTAGAGAATGAGACACAAATTAASTGAATAATCACAAAATATGTCAAATTTCATCTGTGATAATTATTATTAACAAAGTGATAGCACACTACAAAGGAATTACTAATAATTTGTTAGCTTCCCTAAAGAAATAATGGAAACATATAAAGAATGAAAAACATGTAGCACAGAGTGGGAGGGAAGAATATTCCAGGCACAGTATGTTGACTCTATAGTTCCTAGGAGCAATTTGAAAGTTACAGAAGAGTTCTGAATTGGAAGAGATTATGTTCATGGAGGGACAACATCATGTAGTTGTAATGAGCATCAACTCTAAAGATAAGATTTCTAGATTTAAATCCCAGCTTCAACACTTAGTAGCTTTGCGGTCCTGGGACAAATCTTCAAATTCTTGGTACCTATTTCTCCTCATTCGTAAATTGGAGACAAATACTGGCACCTACCTGATGGTAAGGACCAAATGAGCTAGAATGTGGGAGGTGCCTTGAAGAGCCTCCAGCACATGGTAACTCTAAGTAACCAGTATTCATCATTATTTTTGTGCATTTGTGTTTGTTTCTTTTAGGAACCATGGTGAGTAAAACCCTTTGAGACAAACCGAGAATGCATGTAAGAAAATCAGGATTTCAGTCCTATAGGACTAGTTAGAAAAATAAATGTAGTTCGGATTAAGGGGAGCTGACAGTGTGATTCTGGAAATGGAGTTGGATAAATGGTAGAGGTAGGAGATAAAATTGTCAAGATTTAGTGATAGATTATGTAGCCTGAGTGCAAAAAGAACCTTTATGTCTCCAGCTTTGCCTGACAGAATAAATGACACAACTTTTTCCTAACAAAGACAAGTTTAGAGAAGATCATCAGCTAAGTTTCAGGCATAATTTGAAAGTGCTTTAATTCATATTGCGATGGCAAAACTAGACCTGGGTATGMAATGAAATTATTAAAAAAAATTACAGAAAGAAATCAATGCCTGAAGAAACTTTCAGTTTCCTTCTCCACTCTCAGCCTTTCTTMAGGAAGCCTAAGTAGCCCTAGATCCTTGCCTTTGGAATTGTAAATAACTGTCCTAGGAGTCTGACTACTCCCTCTTGATATGTAAACAACCCTGTGTGAGGTTTCTAAGGCGAGACGATTTAACAGATGCTCAGGAAAAAATTCTTCATCTATTTCTGTAAAGATGTTTTATATTAGAGACCCTGCACAAGGCCTTTGGCCACATAGATTAGGAATTTTTTTTTTAAAGAAGAAAAAAACCTTATTGATAGGATGGATCTAAGATAATAACCTATAATGTTGTGAGAAACTGTGGACTGGGGTTCAGAATTTGAAGTTTGTTCTCTTCTGGGTCCTCCAGTGTAAAATGAAGTTTGAAGTTCTCCACTCCTTGTACTAACTGCTGCTTCTCCACCAGTCTGTTTCCCATATGTAAGGGGTTGAATGAGGTCTAGAGTTAGAAAGAGAAGTCTACATAGGTATGTAATTATGGACATTTTCTAGATATTGTTAATGTATCCAATAACCCAAGAAGAATTCTACATTAAAATATTCATACACCCATAAGACTGGTCAGGGACAAGGGACATTAGGAGAATGTAGTCATTATCTCATACAGAGACTAATGAAGCTATGAAAGATGTAATAATCTTTCTTTCTGTAATTAGTTTTTGGACATATGGACAAAATTACTATAACTTCTCTAAAGTTTTGAGTAAGATACTATCTTTTTTCCTGATTTCATATACATGTGATTAGAATAAAAAATTTTAAGATTAATAACTAGAAAATAAGCTCAAAACATTGTCTTAAAACTATGAGTGTTATGCTTGAATTCGGGACCCCCAAAAGACCACCAGAGACCAAGATCGATGTAAACAGCAAAGAGGTGTTTATTGCGAGCTAGCTCTGTCCTTTGAGCGCACACAGYAACTGGTGATGCTGAGAGGCCCCAAGCCCAGGGTTTGAAACAGTTTTATACATTCTTTGGAGAAGGCAGGGACTTCACATACATCATAGCATCTCTTAGCAAATCATCACACACCGCGGGAAAATCAAATAACAACTCTAAAACATGATTAGCACATTCACTGGCGGGAACAAGTCGGGTAGGGGTGATTGGTTACTACAAGAGGGGGATTCATTTGAACTGATTGGTTTAAGCCAAGAGGGGTGTTCGTGCTGAACTACGTGGTTTCCCAACACCATAAACTACTGGGAGGGTCATCTGGCATCCCAGGTATTCCCTGTSTCATGCTGATTGATGGCTGCTAGGGGGTTACTAWGGGTCTTTACCTAGCCTGACTGAGTCAGGGACACCTGGCACAGCAGATCTCTCCTGTTATTTRTAGATAAACCATTTAGCAGTGTGGGAATGTGCCTAGGAGTGCTCTGTGGGTCTTTCCAAGGACAAAGGTCATGTCTCTTCCTTGGACAGGCTTTGCTCTGACATAGAGGCTGGTTTTTCATGAGCTCTTAACACATGTTCAATCCTTCATTTTATGAACCTAATTAAAACACAAAACACAACAAAATAATAGAACTATGATGTTGCCAATGAATAGTATGAACTTAATACAGAGGCAAGAAAATAAAAAGGTACATCTCAAAGTAAAGAGAGTGTGCAGTAATAGAATGACAAATTTATGTGTAAATTATAATGTCTTAGAGATGAAATAGATTTTTTKTGTGTGTGTGTTCTAAGAATTCTGGGACAGAATTTTTTAATTAACACAAATCCTCTTTTTAAAAAAATTTCTTAAAAAATTAGATTGAAAAACTGGTATGGTGAAGGAAATTGCCACATGACATCTTGTATAAAATTGGTGTCAAAGAATCCAATGGATCCTCAAAAATAATTCAACATAAATATTTGTGACTATGTGTAGTGCAACCTGCAGGGCTATTGATTCAGAAAACAGTGAAGGGAAATGGGGGATTAGAAAAGACAAACAAATACACACAGAGAGAAAGCTGGGACCAGATGGGACACCATTCTTTGATGGAGGAACACTGATCCAGAGCTAGCTCAGACTTTTTATTATATAAGTTTTATCATCAAAAGGGTTTTCTGTGAGAAAGTGTCTTCAAAGCATGCAGGATTGAAGGTCAAAGACTGGCAGCCAATTATAACTATCTTTTTGCACTCATAATTCTCTACCTTGGCAGCTTGGGGTGGTGTCTGAACTCAGAGTCAAGACTCATAGTCCCATGCCTTGCACAGAACCTCATTAAGCAGAGCATCAGCATAGCAACTGGTCAATCTTGATCTGAACTTTATACAGGAAGTTCCCAGCTCAGGCACATGCTCCTGTTCTAAGACAGAGATCCTGATCCAAGTCATGGCTCCCCACGTGTGTGTGTGTGTGTGTGTGTGTGTGTGTGTGTATGTGTGTGTGTGTGTGTGTGTGTGTGTGTGTAC